TCTCTCAGAATGGCGGCCATCTTTTCCTACTCCTTCGAATATGGCTTGGTGGAAGCACCACCCCGGGTATCTACTCTACATGTCATCGCGTGCCAGAACCCCAGAGGGAAGAGGAGGCGCCAAAGGGTCCCCCAGAGGGAGAACCCAACAAGCAACCCATACATCGGATAGTCATCCATCGTGGTGTTAGGTGAACGACAATGTCCCACTCCTCACCACTTAGACCTACCCGGTCACACTGACCTACTGACTGACTCTCTACGGACCACAGGGTAAGACCTTGTCAACTATGGTCACTAACCCAAGACTACTCTAAGGCTGTCACTACAGAACCAAAAGCTGATCTGGAGGCATTTAAGGAGATCCCCCAAACTCCGCAAGAATTCTTTAACGTCGCAGACAGGACGACGTGATCAGCTTGGTCCTTCCTGGCGATTTCAGCCCACAACTCAGCCGTTCCGGCCTACTGTGCCACACCAAGCAGCCCGCCTGTCTGTACCGGTCCTTGGAGGGGTTCGTATCCCTTAGGACAGTCGAGTCCTCGGACACAGATCATCAGCCTTACTAGGTCCGGTAGGGGAGTGGTTCAACCAGGCCTCAACACTTAAAGTCGGCCTTCGTTTCAGCCTACAGCTCGGAGTTCGGACCCTCTACACTGAAACTGAGTAGACCTGCTGGACAATACCGGTCATTGGGCTAGACGAGTTGTTTAACGGGCGCTCGCCGCTCATGCCCGGGTCTCCAGATACCAGAGTAGAGATTAGTCCTACTAAGTCCCGTGCAGGTTTGGCAGCAAGGCCCTATCCTTCAGCCACAGAGTCCTAACACCTAGGACAGAAGAGACTCAATGCAGAAAGAGTAGACAGACAGACCCAGCAAGTACCGTGGGGTAGGTGCACATCCACAGGGTAAGGGGATAGGCTAAGGGCTCAGCAAGATATCACCGTCTCTAGCTTGGTCAAAATCTTGGTCAGCAGCTCCGGTCAACGCCTTGGTCAACGCTGAGTCAACGCGGGCAACCCCTAGTCAACGCTTGGTCAACACCCTTGGTCAATGCCTGGTCAACCCTCTTGTCAACGCTCTAGTCAATGCCCGGTCAACCCTTCACCTCGGCTATGGCTGCCGGCATCTTCAGCTTCATCACCCTCGCCACTTACTTCCCCTTCCTCCACTCTTCTTCTTCTTCACTTTCTCTTCTTTTTTTTTTTTTCCTTTTTTTTTTTCTTTTTTTTTTTTGTGTGTGTTCACCTCCGGCTATGTCTGTCTTCTTCTCCGGTATCCCTCTTTCCGTCCTTCTCTTTCTCTCTCTCCTCAGTCCCTCCTCTGTCCTCCCTCTCTCTCTCCTTCGGTATTCTGTGTTGATGCTCCGCGGCTATGGTCGTTGTCATCCTCCCCACCGAACTACGCAACTCGCCTCACAGGTACGTGACAACCAATCTTGGATCGCTCTCTCTCTCTCTCTCTCTCTCTCTCTCTCTCTCTCTCTCTCTCTCTCTGTCCTCTTCTTCGTCGTGATCTTCTTAATGCAGGTGCGCGGCGGCTTCTTCCACCTCAAGGTCCGCTATGGCGGACTGCTCCCTCCGGCGGCCACCTCAGCTATGGCGCATCGGCCCTGCACACGACGGCGCGTGGAACAGCGGGTACCTGCTCCGATACCAGTGCAATCAGACTCGACTTATTCACTCTTTTCATGCATGTAAACAGCGATACAGCAAACTGGCGACCTGCGCCCACACAATACACAGAGATATCACAACCCGATAAGAGTTCTCTTGTAATTGGCTATGGCGACTGTGTGCCCAAACAACTCACTGTTCCCACTCTGGATCACCCTGGATGTCCCACGCACATGACTCTAGACACACACAACAGTACGCACACACTGCACTCTACACTAAGCTATGGCAGCTATGGCTGCCGCTACCTATCACTATGGCTACCCTGCTTCACTCTCGCCCACTTCGTCTTCGGGCCTCCTGCAGACCTCCTTGCACTAGACGCTGAGGCAGCGCTACCGCATGGCTTCCGCATGAATGAATGAATGGCTGGGCGCAGCCTCTTGATTTATACTTCTGTGCTGCGTTGGTCTGCCCTGTACCCCTGGCCCCTCGTGCACACAGTCCCAGATGGTACTGGCTGGACTGGACTGGACTGGGTGGACTGGGACTGCTGACTGTACTAGGTGGACTACCACCACTTGACCACTTGCCTCTGCTTAACGCAGGCTCACTCCGAAAGGCCACTTCTAGAAACCTCTAACCTGGCCTTTCGGTACTGTAGCAGTTACGACTTTGCCCTTTCAGGTAAGAAGCAGCTACGACCTTGACCCTTCAGGCAGCCTACAGCTACGACCTCCAAACTGTCTAGGCTCCTACCCTACAGGTCTACAGTTTGAATCCCTTCTACCCTGTGACCTACGARAACCTACCTACCACTGGCGGTCCTACAGGTAGCAGGTTCAAATCTACGGGTTGACNCAGGTAGCAGGTTCAAATCTACGGGTTGACACCGGTACTGTACACAGGTAAGATGGGGAGCTAGGGATCGAGCCCTGGGATCTGCATCAGCTACTCCGAACTGGTGAATACCGTTTCAGTTGAGTTCCAAAAGGTAAAAACCCTTATTGTATATGAAATTCATTAAATATTGAGTAGTTTCTAGAATGAAATGAAAATAATCATTTTTTTTTTAAATAACGGAATCATAGTATTTTTCTAAAAGAGAGAAAGGTATGATTTGTTTTCTTATTAACTCAATAGAATTTATTCTTAATTGAAATAAGAAAAATAAAAGAGCCCAATACATTGAAAGAGCCCTTAAATTCCCAAGTGTGTCCCTCGAATCAGATTCTAGGTGCGAGTGCCTCTCACTGTCACCTCTCTCAAATCGCCGCATGAAGTCTCCTCAAAATATCTCGCCACCCTAATCTCACTCTCAAACAACCTGGTTAGGTTCTATGTCGACCCCACATGACCTAACCAGGTGGGGGCAGCTTCCCTCAACCACGCTGCCCCACATCCCTTCACCAACCAACCCTAACCTTAAGTGTTGCCCTCAACCACTTAGGTTAGGGTTAGGGCAGCAAAGTCAACTCTCACCAGCAAGTAGAATCCGCTCCGATACCAATGTTATGACCCCGGCCAATTTCGAGATGCACATCCATCGGGAAGTACAATGCCATCCAATTGCAGAAAGAAATGAATGAACTTGAGAGGAGAGAGAGTAAGAAATAAGAAGTAAGAAAGAAGAAGAAGAAGATGTACACCAGCAAAGACAATGACAAGGCTCTTCTTCTTCGCCCAACAATCTCTCTCCTCCTTATCTCCCCCTTCTCTTATTCATACAAGAAATAATAATACAATGTTGAATGACTGATCCAGAATCAATGTCTGAGTCCTCTTCTACTGCAGGTATCACTTGAGGTCCACCATAGCCATGGCCGCCTCCCCACTCTTCACTCTCATAGGCCGAGGCTATGGCGGACTACTAGGCCTTGCCCAGATGCCCAAAGGACA